ATGCACGGAAACGGAACTGCAGAAGAGACGTGCAAAGTAGAAGTTGCGGCAGAGCGAAGAATGCTGAAATACCATTATCATTTTTGTCAAAGTCAAGTAGCCATCAATTTTATTGACCCGACAATTGGAAGAGGCTAGACTGTTTTTGTACTATGTGAAAATGCTTATATAGACTATTTTTCATTTTTGTACTACCTGTTTAATTTTAAAAATAGCTAGAGTTCAAACTTGACTAGCAAAAGTGCTAAATGACCATTGCTAATCCAAATAAAATAGCAAATATCGGTAATAATATGTAGATAACTAGACCATGTATAGTTCACACTTTGACACATAGTTCTCACAAGACATGCCATAAGCACATCATAATGCAGTGTTTCAGTTCACACTTTATTACACAAAACAAGAGTCATACACACATCGTCGTCAGCAGGGCAGTGCAAATAAATGGTTCTCAAAGTCAAGGCTCAAAGAGTCAAAGGTCACATCCTAACGACAAAATGTAAAAGGCTAAAGTTCTTAATAACCATGTTGCATGCATGATAATTTGGTAAACTAATAGATGATAAATTGGTAATATGAGAATGTAGTGGCTCAAGGCATCAAGATCAATCATCATTCTCTGTTTCTTGCTAGCTCCTGCTTATAACCAGCTCTGACAACTTCATCTTGATGAGACCCAAACATCGACTAATTATAATGGAGAACGAGAGCTTCTACTAGGAAATAAGCAAGAAAATGAGTCCATCAAGATTCAAACAATTTCAAGCTAGGCACCGTAAAAATAGAGCATGATTTTAGAAAAAAAACTGAAACTAGTTTCACAATTTTATGAGGTAAAACCAATTTAACAAGATTAAACCGGATTTTAGGATTTTTAATTGCATTATTTTTTTCATGTAAAAGTATTTGTATAGATTTTTGAATTTTTTTGGATACCTTTTTAAAACATTTTTAGTCTAATTTATCTTCCTAAACTTTAAGCTTAGTTTGATTTACCTTCCTCTTACTGGGCTCCACATCAGCAAAACTACCCAAGGTGCAGTTTAAAAAGTTGAGTGGGTAAAAAGACATGATTTTGTAGTTTAGGGAGCAAAATCGACGAGCACAATAGTTGAGAAAGGTAAATAGTACTTTCAACCAAAAACAAAGAAACATATGACCGAGTTGCCAAACGCCCCATGGACTATAGTACTCCCTCTATTCCGAAAAAATGTAATTCTAAAACAGTTTAGGTTAAAGTATGACAAATTTAACTAGATTTATAAAAAATACTAATATTTGTCATATTAAATAGGTACCATTGGATTCGTCATCAAACATTTTCTATAAAATATTTATTTAACATCATAAATATTAATATTTTTGTCTATATATTTGATCAAATTTTAGATAATTTAATCATGAAAGCATCTAGAATTACATTTTTTAGACGGAGGTAGGAACCTTATACAAGTGGACATTTTTTTGAGGAAATTATACGGGTGGACATGGCTGGCCCTGAATCCTGATGCAACCGGGCTTTCTAACGGGCCCAACGCTAGCTATAGCAGACCATATGCCCTCACGGCCCACCCCAATCTCATAATCGTCGTCTTCTCCCCCTTCGTCGCGGCTAGGGCCGGCGCACCCTTCTCCTCTTCTCTTCCGGCGGCGTCTCCGTCGATCAACTGCGCCGCCTTCGCCCGCATACCCCGGAGGGAGCCGTCATCTTTACCTGCGCCGACCGACGCCTCTGTTGCCTCTCCAGGTGCGTGTCCTATTCATCCTCCTCGGAGCTGCTGTTCCGAGCTGTGGTTTCTCCCCCAGATCCAGGACGGACCGGCGATTCCTGTTTTATCTAGGATTTTGGAGGTGTGGAAAGATCTTGTTTTTATGGATTGTGTTGGTTGTGTAGGGGTTGCACGAGGAGGAGGGTCGGGCTTCGCCATGTCGAAGTCGAAGTCGGAGCTGGATGATCTGCTTCTGCAGGCCGCCGGCCGGACGGGGAAGAACCAGTCCCGGCCGAGCAACCCGCGGTGGAATTCTGGGGGGAGCGGCTCCGACGGCTTCGACGACGACGACGACTCCGACACCGCGCCGACCTACTCGAGGAAGAAGCCTTCGTCGCAGGTACCGCTCAAGAAGCGGCACCAGCCGGAGAAGGGCGTCCGGCGTGGCGGTGGTGGGTGGAAGGACGAGGATGATGAGGACGAAGATGGGCGTCGCAGTGGCGGGGAGGACTCGGACAGCGCCCCTTCAGTCGGGAGTGACCTATACAAGGATGAGGACGACAAGGAGCGTCTAGAGAGCATGTCTGAGCTGCAAAGGGAGATGATCCTGCACGACCGGGGCGCCCGCCGCGACGACTACAAGCTCAAGCAGCGGGCACGTGCGTCCTCGTCCAAGACGGACAAGGTGGGTGCGCGAAAGGATAGCAGCCCACCCCCGCCGCCCAGCCGGATGCGGTCTTCAACCCGAACTGACAAGTCTGGATCTGCCGCCAAGAGCGCGCTGGACGAGCTGCGGGCAAAGCGGACTATGCGGCAACAGGACACGGAGGCACGCAACAGGTTCAATGTCCTGCTCCCACATAGTGGCTCACCGACTAGGCGCAGGGCTGGGAGCCCTCCAAGTGATGGGAGCAACGATGGTGATAACAGGGGTAGGCTGAATGACCATGGGAGGATTGCTGATGACGGCAGGGATGATGAATTTGATGAATCGCCAAGTAGGCTTGACCCACTCAAGTTTGATGATGTGAAGAGTATTACCCTCAGGAGGTCAAAGCTGGTGAAATGGTTCATGGAACCATTCTTTGATGATCTAATTTCTGGGTGTTTTGTGCGGCTAGGTATTGGCAAGACAAAGTCTGGGAACCCGAGATACAGGCTGTGCATAGTGAGGAACGTGGATGCAAGCGATCCGGATCGGAAGTACAAACTGGAGAGCTACACGACATGCAAATATCTCAATGTTGTCTGGGGCAGTGAGGCTGATGCTGCGCGGTGGCAGATGACTCAGGTATCAGACTCCCCACCCAACGAAGAAGAGTTTAAGGAATGGCTGCAAGAGGCTGAGAAGAATGGTGCGCGTATACCGACTCGTCAGGAAGTGCTGGATAAGAAAGAAGCCATTCAGGAGGCCTATAACTTTGTGTATTCAGCACAAACTGTACAGCAGATGCTGAAAGAGAAATCAGCTGTGAGACGCCCTATCAATGTTGCTGCTGAGAAGGATCGGTTGAGGAGTGAGTTGGAGATGGCTCTGAGCCGTAGGAATGAAGCTGAAGCAGAGAGGATCCGTGCGAAGCTGAAAAATCTGCAAAACAGGCCACAGCCAGTGTCAAAAGATGATAAGGCTGCAAAGTTGGAGGCTATGAACCGGAAGAACCGTGCTGATAACTTCAAGAATGCTTCAGAACTGAAACCTGTAAATACATCTTTGAAGGCAGGAGAGGCTGGATATGACCCTTTCTCAAGGAGGTGGACAAGATCAAGAAACTATTATGCATCGAAGCCAGGAGGAGATAATGCTGAAGAAACTGCCAACGGGTCCAGTAGCAATGTAGTGCCTAGCAATGAAGATATGGAGAGCAAGGCTCAAACTGGTGCAGCAGCCACAACAGCAGCTCAAGTGGCAGCAGCTGACGCCGGGAAGCTCATCGATACCAATGCACCAGTGGATCTGGGAACAGAATCAAATGTGCTGCATACATTTGAGCTTCCTATATCATTGTCTGCTCTGCAAGAATTTGGTGGAGCCAAGGGCCTGTTCGATGGTTACATGGCAAGGAGGCAGAAGATAGAAGCTACAATGGGGTACAAAGTCCCTGACAACGATGGGAGGAGGCATGCTTTAACCCTGAGTGTGAGTGATTACAAACGGCGACGGGGTCTCCTCTGAAGGGTATCTGTGATTGTGCTGGGCGGTGGGCACTCAATGGATTCAACTATCCGCCTGGCTTCAGCGCCTCTGCATTGCTGTGACAATTGTCCAGATCATCTGCATTTTGCCTTATCTTCCTATAAGTAACACAAAACATGCAGAGTATACAATTTCTTTTCATAAATATTACCTGATGTTTGACTGATTATGTTGCTGACATCATGTTTATATATGTGGATTGTGTTATCATCGTATCCTTGTTAGCTGCAAAAACTGGATTCCATAAATAGTTGAATTATTTTTCTGATTCATGTTTTACAAGGTCGAATGCGTGAACATATAGCAGAGCTAGCTTATTAACAGCCTCATTTCTGGTTCGAAGAAGTCTTTGGTTCATATATTTTTTCATATATTTTATTCTTGCTCCAAATATTATTTGGTTCGTTTTTCTTGTTTTTTTCTTTTATCGATCCCTCTTTGAGTGTGTTGGGTTCATGCTGAAATTATGCATATTCTGCTGAATGCCATAATTTTAAGCTATTGCAGTTGTGTCTACTGTCTCTGTCTGATGGCTAGTATACAAGGTATATGTAAATATTCAGTGACCAAAACTCCTGTTCCTATTGTAATTCAGGGTATCTATAAAGTGAAATTTATGCAGGCTGTCTGTCTACCATCTCGCAAAACGTATGGCATGTCTTGTTCAGTATATGCCGGATGCTGTAGCAATTATTGTTGCACCGTTGGAGCTGTAAGAATGCAAAATTGCATAAAATGTGTCAAAATATTCTGCATGACAAGGCTAAGCAAGAACCTTCATAGGCTGGGACTCCTTGATCCACCCCACACCCGGCAAAAAATAAAACAGGAGAAAAGGATTGAACGAAACAATGCAAAAAACAGCTAGACATGTCCATAAAACCACTCCATCAAAATTTCTCAATCATGTGGCCAGAAAGCGGCCCAACACTGGATACAATGTACATGAGCAGATATCATTGTGTTTCACCAAGGCATCTCTTATTCATCTCGGATCAAGATGGTTCTTCCATGTTCCTGCATTCGATTAGTTTATTACATAGCGAAGCCTTATGGTCAATTGATTACGCAAAAGGTTAGCACTTGAACCAACATTAATCATTCTTCGCCTTGATAAACTTCTTGATGATGCCCATCATCTCACTTCCAGGGAATCGTCCAAGGCAGCCCCTCGCAGTGGCAACCTCGTTGAACTCACACACAGCATCACCACTGAAAGCTTTAAGTTGATCAGGCTTGCGCTCCAGTGATTCTATATCGTCAAACAAATCTTCTCCGGACTTTACTGAAGGGAGGGGGAAATCATCAAGTTGTGTGTTTATAACATTATCCTCCCCAATGGCTGCTCCATAATCTCTGAGTCTGCATATTGCAAATGGGACAGGTTCGAAGCTATGATCACCGTATTCAACAGGAGTAGAATGGTCTCCGGTGACACAAAGAAAGTACTGGTAGTGTCCGGCCTTTTCAGCTTCCCAAAGAAGCCTTGCAAGCTGACCAATAGCTCGATCAACAGCTTCTAGACCCCGTACCTTTAACTTGACAGCCTTATCATGACCAGCATCATCAATGGCCTGTAGTGACATTATAAGAGCTATCAGAATCACATAGTCAGTATGAGTAAAAAGAACCTGAATATGCATTTTACCTTTACGTGCAGGAACCCAAAGTCATATCCATTTTCTCTTCCAGCTTTATATTCATCCTCTCCAGGCACAAAAACACGAGGTGGTGTATCCATAGGGGCAGAGAGTGCCTTGGCTATAGCTTTAGCTTTAGAAGTTAAGAGAGTACGATAATCTCCAGTTGCTCCAGGTGCTTCAAGGATATCAATCCCCAGTGAAAGCCCCAGGCCAGCTATGATCTTAGTAGGAGCAACCATGCATGGTGCAAGTCCATGCTTGATTTCAAAGGCAGGCACCTAACAAAGCCACATGAAACTTCATTTAAGGGAAGCTTTAGAAGTATCAAGTTCCACTAGGGTAAAAGCATGTCAGATCTTAGCCAGGGCAGAAGCAGGTCAAATCCAGAGAATGCATTTGTGAAAGCTCACGAAAGTCGAAACCAATCTTTCATATTGCTACTGCAGTACCATATAGGCCTAGTACTAAATCTTTCAAACTAACCTCAATTCGGATACCACAGCCTCGCAATAGCACAACATTTGCGATGTTCTTCCCCTCAGCTGCACGCTTTGCGTTGATAGGGTGAGAAACCAGTATGCGCGTAATCTCTTTAGAAACCTCATTGACCACATCTGCAGTGTTTTTAGCTTCTTCTGAGTCATCCAACGGTTCAGCCTTCAGATGCAAACGGTTGTCCTTCAAGGGATCGGTTCCAGAAATGTTCCCACTCAGCTTTGGCCCTTTGACAACCACACCACATCTGTGCTCAGTAGCATACCTGCAGAGAAGGTGTGTGAATTACAGCAGTAACTAAACATCATACATGCTTAAAACGGTGATGAGGTTTAAGTGCTGCACCTTACTCTGACTTCATACTCAGGAAACGATGGAAGCTTCATCCCATCCAACGCAGCACAAAGGATAGGCCCTTCCTCTTCAAAATGCCGATCTGCCCTCCTGCTGACGATAACTCCGGTGCTCTCATCCAGTGTAGCAAAGTTTGACTGCATGCAAATTGTGCAGAGAATTCAGTGGGAAAAACACATTCATCAGTTTATACAAATGGTATTAGAAAACATTAAATACCATCAAGGAAAAAGAAGAAGAAAAATATAGGGTGAAACATGCTTCTTTCCACACTATTGCCACTTAAATTCAATGGCCCAAGCAATTGCTAAGTAGAGCTAGAGCCCAGGATCCAACAAGAAAAGGTGGTCAAATTTAGTTACTGCATGCGCATTCTTGAATGATACGAACCATTGCTGGCCTAAGATTCTAACGAGATTAAGCTCAGTCGATGATCTGAACAATTACTGCTGGCTATACAAGTTGACAGCAGAAGGAATCAGGTTTAGCAACAGAATATGCAGAGCAAGAATACACTATGATCTGAACTACCACTAACTTATACGATGGATCCAAACAAACCAAAGCTACTCGAGCTGCAATTTTGTGCTCCAAGGACGAGGGTGCCGACCTTGAAGGCGATGTCGCCGGGCGCCATGGCGAGCCCGGCGCCCATGGACTCGAACGCGCCGCGGCCGCGGTAGTACACCCGTGGGTCGTACCCGAGGAGGGATAGGTGCGCCGTGTCGCTGCCGCAGGCGAGCCCCGGCTCCACGGGGTCCATGAGCCCCGTCACCCCAGCCGCCGCCACCGCGTCCAGCCGCGGCGCGCACGCCGCCTCCAGCGGCGTGCGCCCGCCCAGCGACGGGATGCTCACGTCCCCGATCCCGTCCACCAGCACGAACGCCACGCGGCTCCGCCTCGGCCCTCTCCCCTCCGCGCCCGCCATCGCCGTCTCCGCAGCCGCCGCAAAGGCCCCCTCGCCTCCCTCAATTTCGGCTTTCTGCTGCTTGCTTGCGAGATGCTTCTGCCGCGTGCAGCATGCTGGTTCGGACCAGGGCGCAGGGTTCGGGCCGGCTCGAATCTCGGACCGGCCCGGTTCGGTCGCTACAAGAACCGGGCGAGCCCGAGGCCCGGCCCCCAAATCTGCAACGCTTGGCGCTCGCTCGGCTCCGCCCTCCGCCTCCCCTGCCCCGCCCGATCGCCGCGCCCCCCTCGCCGCCGGTGATCGCCGGGGAGCCGCCAAGGCCGGACGCCGGCGGTTCCCGCTCCCTCCTCCGTGTCTCCCTTCAACTCGCGCGTCCCGCCCGCCCGTCTCGTGGCCTCCTGCTGGGGGTTCCTCTCGCCGCGGAATTTGGCATGTGACGCGGACTGAGGGCAACGACGCGCAGCCGGCGGGACCGGATGCGGCGGGGGCGGCGTGCGGTTGATTCGTTAACTGGATTTCGAGATTGATTTGTTGGGATTTTTTTTTTCTCGAGGGAAGCGCGAGGTGAGACACCTGTAAACATAATTTTCCGTGTTTTTTCCCCTCGATTAATTCGTCGGCGCTTGCCATTATTCGATCTAATTTTTTGGGCCGGTGGGAATCTGCTGTCGAGGTGCTGATTTGCGGAATCTTTGTAATGACCCTAGACATTTTTTTCCATTTTTTTTTGGTTAGGAATGTGATTTCTATTCGGATATCATGTTTGCCTAATGGTAAATGGTAGCATTTGTTTGTTTCGGTGGATTACTAGTTAGTAATGTGTGCAGCATTGTTTTCTTTTAAACTTCAAAATATAATTTGTTTTGAATTCGGGACGCTCCTTATTGTATGGGTAATATCACAACTTGCAGTACCAATGCTATGGCAGATTTGTGCTGTTTGATATGTGGGGAGTTTAGAATGTGGTGGTTGAACAGCCATTGTTTCAGTAGTTGTTTTGGTACTTTGGTGGTTTCACTTTCAAGGCTTCAAGAGATTGAATTGAGGGCCTCATGGTATCCATTCAAAATAAGCATTTATAATCACTGGGTCACAAGTGGGCCCAGAGCACAGGTCATCTTTTCTGGTTCGGGTCACATTTCATTATGATGTTGAGGAACTGCAGTATTCTGGATTGTCAAGCTGTAGCATATGTGTGCAGCTTTCAATAGTCAAAATGAGAGGACGCTCTCAAAATAGAAAAAGAAAAAAGATGCAATTGACTTTGGATGTAATAATAAAGCCATATGGATAGAGATTTTTTGTTGACATTTTAGCAATTGCATGTTTGCAAAGATATGCCATTTTCATTTTGTATTATGTGATAAAAATTAGGCTTGACATTAATGCGCTCCCCTATGTCACTTAGATCCTACTACTATAGATGTTTTGATTATATGTCAGTTCTGCCATGTAACGCATGTGACTGTATTGTAGGTTGCATTTCCAAAATGGTTTGCATGGCGGGGCATTTTAAAATGTCTTCTGTGCTGAAGCTTGTAATGATGGAAAATCACACAGCACCAGGTAAAGTATAGTTAAGATTTTAGCCTATTTTGACTTTCCATTTAGCTTGTGAATTTCATGGACAATACTTTAATAGAGGCTTTGAGACCTGTCTCCAGAGTAAAATAAAGAGAAAATTATATTGCACAGTTAGCATGGAAATTTGATATAGCATTTATTAAGTGTACAATTCCAATGTACTTGCATGATTTGATTGGATTTGTGCGGTCCATTAATAAAATTGATAAATTCAGATAGAATGGTGCACCATATCTTTTATTTTACTAGAATGATGTGCAACTTCTAGATATATTGTTTTTTCTTATTTGTAACTTGGATATGTAGCAAAAAAAAAATCAGTATTACTAGATCCTTGCAAAGAGAAGGAGAGAATAGTAAACTCTAGAAAACATAATCAATACAAGGAACCTTTGCAAATGGAATATTATTTATATATGAAACCTTCTATGGATTGAAAAGACAATTTAATCTGTTACTGGATTTTATTATATTTGATTCAGCGCCTCAGTGCAGGGATGCACTTTTTCAGTGTCATGTTTATTTTATGTTCTGGAGTAGAAATGGCATTTGTAGGCCCATAAATATTTTTACTGCATTCAGGTTTCTGGATTAGTTTTTACAGAATGTTGATTGACAATGTGGCCTGTATAGTGCAATATAAATGTTCTTATTAATCAACTTTATAAACTAATCAACGTTAAAAACATATATAATTATTGTGTACAGATTATCTTGGTTTACTGGTAGTTTGATAACCTTCAGATTTCATCATATGCATGCAAAGCAAAAAAAATGCTTGTGCTGTTTTTTTGGTCACCACATGTGCATGGCTAGCTTATGGTTGATCATTGATCATTTGATTGTTATCCATATTTTATTCCTTGAGTTTCTTTTTGTCTCTCTTGAGTGAACAAAACATAGGGACTGGTACCGAGATGATTCAATCCATGCATGTTGGGCGTTTGAGCATGAAAAGAATTTGCTGTCACTTTTGGCAGATGACGTGATCCGTGAGATGACAGCTGCACAGGTCCTACAAAAGCAACTGTTTGATGCACACGAACCAAATTTGCTAGATGAAAATGGTAAGCTCCACTTGCTGAACCATATATTTCAGTTACTTTCTCTAATACCTACTCTCTAGTACTACCGGTTGAATGTACCTGGTGGAACAAGTAGACATTTTAGTGCTTCCAGCTTCTGCCTCATATCATATGTGTTTATTTATTAGCTTGAGATTTCACTGCCTCATGTGTTTATTTTACCTTCAATGTATACTATTGTGTTTTACTCTGTATTTGTGACACATGCTTCTGTTATATCAGATAGCTGTAACCGGTAGCTTAAACTTACATGTTGATGTCAACCACAGTTTAGCTTTTTAACTTTTCCAATAACTTTGTGCAGATATGCATATATTTGGATCAAAACCGATGGCCGACCCATTGGACTTGGTAACTTTGATGAATCTACCTGTATGATTTCCCTTTTTGCCTATGGCTGATCCACTGGATCAAAATCTTATCTTTTATTGAAGGTCTGCTGTAGTACTTGCAAGAAGCCAGTCAAAGCCAGCCAATATGCAGTTCATACAGGTGCTATTAACATTTTGCTATTACATTATTTAGGTGTAAGTACTCTTGTTCAATCTGCTCAATTTTAATTGTTAAAACACAGGTTTAGTTTTGTTATGTTCGTATAATTCATCACCCATCTTGCTGGGAACTAGGCTGTGAACACATAATCCACAAATTCAAAGTCATAATATATCATGAATCCATACTTTCCAGCACACAAACTTATATTTTGCAATTTGTATGTGCGAAAAGCCCCAATGTGTAGCTATTTACATCATTTAGCTTAATCAATGACTAGTGTAATTTGCTTACTGTTTGATACACTTGCTTAGAAAAGCTGGTGGCATTGTCATTCCAAGCATCAACTGCTCAACTGACCAATATCTTAATCAAAATGTGATGAATAGTCAAATCCCTTATTTAATCTTTTTAAAATACAAACTTTTGTGTTACTTGGTTTATTACTAGCACATTGTAAGATTAATGCTATCCAAGATTTAGAACGTGAAGCCAACCTTTGGAAAATTTTACGATGAGTATGCACCTTTTGTGAAAATGGTATTTAGTACTTCTTTGGCTTTTTCATTGAAACTTTGTTTATTGTGCAGAGCAATGTAGCTCAGGGAAGGTAAACACAAATGATTCAGTGGGTGTAGATCATGCCAGTCCTACAAAGCCCCTGAAGAAGGGCAGAAAAATAAAGTTGATAAGTAATGGAAGTATCCTATTGTTTATGAGGCAGCCTTTTTGTTCTTGTTTACTGTTAGTGCTTACCTGCTGCTATTTGTGTTCTCCATGTGGAATACCCACCTTAAACTTTCTTTTTGTTAATTGGACTCTAAATGTTTGTGGATCTTCGAATGTTTGCTGCCTTGACATCTGATATAGATCAAAAAGTGCACATAAAAGTGAAAGCAAAATCTCAACCTGAAAGCAAGAACGTTGCCAATAGTTTCGAATTGGACAATGGGCATGCCACTTCCACAGGTGATCAAAGTTTGTGCTGCTTTCTGTCTAAATATAGTTATCAATCTGGTGTCATTTAATCCTTATTTCTTCTTGCTGACTTTCTCTAGGTCCTTTGACTTGTGTATCTAGTGTTTAAATGATATTGTCAGTATAGCCAGTATGGGCATGAAGAAGTTTTGTGTATCCACGTTAGCTTCTGGTGTCTAATTATATAAGTTTGTGGGACCATTTCATTTGCATGTAAAGATAAAGACCAGTGTCATATTTCCAGGGATAATACATAGGAAACTAATGCATTGGCTCTTGGATATGTTTTGTCGAAACAATAAAGTGTGTGGGCTTTTCTCTGCCAAAAATGAATGTTTCAGCTGATAACAGTATATCTTTAAATATCATGTCCACTTACAACCTTTTTTTTTGTTTGGCTCAATTGAACTTAAAGTGAAAGGGTATTTTCAAATGTTTCCTTTAAGTGGGGATTAAAGGTTCTCTGATATATTGCATGCTCAGTAACAAGAAAAAAGAACAAAATAAATGGTGTTCTTAGAAAATTGTTTGTTTTTGCTTACTGAGTCAAGGGTTAATTTTACACCTAGTTTGACTGTGATGAAACCTTGCCTGCATAGTTCTTGTCCATACTAGTTGATGGGAGTAAAGTCAGTAACCATAGAATGTTAAGGGAGGAGCTTTTCCCAGAAAATTACTTTTGCCTATCCAATTAAGATTTAACGTTTAAAGTCGGCCCATAACGAAACCTTCATTGCATAGCTATGCAGCATTAATCAGAAGGCTTACCTTCACTCCTTCAGTACCTGAGACTCTAATTTAGATGTTCATCCAATTTCCCAAATGTTGCATTCACTTGAATAATATATCTTGTTCAATTTTCATTGCGCTGTAACCTCTGACCATATAGTGTTTTGATTTTCTCATCTAATTTATATCAGGTGCGCCAGTTCCTCTTGCAACAAAAATGTATCATTCACAGGGCAACTACCGTCTTCGAATGGAGCTTGGCCAGCTTTACCGCGAATCATGTGTGCAGCATTTGAGTGGCCACACAACTCCAAATGTGTCACATGAGAATGGATTGATGGCGTCACGGTTTACCCCATGCGGCAACTCAGCATTACCTGCTTCTCAGAAGAGCCTTGTTCCTCAAACAAAGGTTTGATGCCACCCACCGAGCACTGGCATGATAGTTTTTCATGTTCTCTTACTGATGATGCATTCTGCTATGGTGCTTCTCATCAGCCTCTTGCAAGCGCATCTGAACTGTGCTCAGGATTCCCTCGGCAATTAGCAGCAAGCAGGCCTAACCAGTCACAAGGAATCAAAACTGAGAGAGCAAGTACACAAGCATCTGCAATTAAAACTGAAGGTTCACGATCCAGAGGCAATAAAACTACTGTTCCCCATTCGAGAAACAAAGGTTGGAAATGATCTTTTAATATTCTGCTAAATGTAGTATGTGACTTCATTCATTACAAAATATTAAGTGATTATTCAGTTGTGTTTGCTATCTATAACTGGGGCAGGGCACTTATGTAAAGATAAAGAATATTCCAGTGAAACTATATTATTAGCTATATATAAACTGAAAGTTCAAAATACACCTCTATGAGGAGAAGAAAATTTACAGCTCACACTTGGTTCTGTTCTAAGCTAAGTATATTATAGTTTTCAGCTTTTCAAGAGTCTGATTTACCCTGTAGTTACATGGCTTCAGGCCTGCAAAACTGTTAGCTCATCTTTTTTAGTTTACTGAAAGGCTCCTGCACCACCACTCTGATGCCTGGAAACCTTCTAACGTAAAAAAAGATGTACTGTATTAGATTATTACCTTGCTAGTAACTACATATTCCATTTGTTCTCTAGGCAGCAAGAAGACGCAGCAGCAACCTAATGGACATGTTCATGTCATCAAGTCCTCCGTAGAGTAGCCCATTGATAGGTATGTGCCCCCTATTGGCTTTACTCACTTGAGCTTAAATCCAGGCGAACATTTCACCGCTTGACATAGTGATCTTACGCTGATTGATTTCACAGGTAATTTATTGGTCAAGTGGAAGTGTCTCCACTGGTGAACAGTCTCTTCTTTTCTCCTTTCCTAATGAAATTGGTTATTGTCAGGATGGTTCTGATTTGGACCGTCCCGATTCGAGGTTGTTTTGGTAAGTCAGGATATCTGAAATTCACGGCAATATGTGATACCATCTCACGTATCTAAGCTCTTAGTTAACATGGTTTCATCTGTTTTTGCTCAGGTTCGTCGGCTATTGGTACAAGAAGCTAACAGCACTAGTTGTAGCACTGATGATGAAGTTACCTGTAAATACGACCGCAAAGGCCTTCGCTTATTCCTGCCCCTCTTGCTGCGGAAGGTTGTGAACCTGATGAACATTTTGAATATAGCCCTCATCTTTTGGGCATCGAGTTTTAGTTGACTCTCATGTTTGTGTTTGATTCTTTCCCTAAGCTTGCCTTTCTAGTGGGCAATTTGAACCCCCTTATTACGGACTACGGCTGCTGTTTTTTTTTTTTTTTTATTCCAAAAGCTCACCTCGCTTGAAAGCTTGTCGCTGTTGCTGGGCGTTTTGGGGGGATCTGGTTGTAAGTTGATGGGGCGATTGCGTGGCAGAGTGGTTTCAGGGCATGTTTGGTTGTACGCCGCCCGCCGCAACTTGCCACGCCAAAAACTCGGCGACTTTGATCGTTGCTTGGTTGTCGTGTAACCATTGGCTGTCACAACTGTTGTTTTGCTTCTGCTGCTTGTTGTTTTGCTGTGTGGTGTGTGGCGGCCATTGTTTATCAGCCTGTTCGTTTGGTCGTATTTGGCTTATAAGTCATGACTTATCAGTCAACGAATAATATTTTTTCTCACACCAAACCAGTTAATAGTACTTTCAGCAATGACTTATGAGTCAAACCAGCCCAAACGAACAGGGCGTATGCCATGGCTGTGGGGCCACCGAAGGTGCGTGGCAAGACGTGGCAGGCCAACAAACAGGCTCTTACCTTCGCTCCAGTGAAGTCTGCTCTGGAGCCATAGGGTCTGTTCGGCAGGACTAAAAAATATTGTTTTGATTGATTGTTGTGAGAAAAATAATGTTTTGGTAGGATAGGAACAGTGATTCTGTGAGGTAGCTGGCCAGCCGGCGGCTAGCCAGCCGAACACGCCCATAGTCCTAATTTTTTGGGGGCAATGTTTCGCTGTCCTTTCACCCATCGGTGGCACAGATGCTTAACGGTATAAGCAACTAGCAGCAGCATTGTCCCATCTCATTATCAGCCAGAGTTAGAAAAAACGAGTTCTATCAAATCTGCTCAGTTTTTTTAGCACCAAACGACGACATTTGGAAATGGTATTCGTTAGATCAGTCGTACTCTAGTCACCATCAAGATAGCTTGTATCTGGCGGGCATGTTCTTCTAACCATGGCCTTGTTTCGATGGCCTCAAAGTTCCAAGTTTTTTCACTCTCTCTCTATCACATCAATTTTTGGACGTATGCATGGAGCATTAAATATAGGTAAAAAAAGTAACTAATTGCACAGTATGGTTGTAAATCACGAGACGAATCTTTTGAGCCTAGTTAGTCCATGATCGGACAAAGTTTGTCAAATACAAATGAAACATGCTACAGTGTCCAGATTGCAAAAATTTACAATCTAAACAACGCCCATAACATTAAAGTTCCATGCTCATATAACAACATGAAGCATTGCATTTTGTTAAACGCCAAAAGATATGAAAACAAGAACATCTCCATCGTTGCACAACGCTAGCGAATTGCGAATCAGAGCTGTTGCTGCGGGGCAATGTTCGTAGGACCGCTTCAAAATATCAGTGCGCAGATTGAAATTACCCAATTCGAAAATGTCTGCCTTGCTGATGTTATTGCAGCACTAGGTGCCATTTCACCTATCTAGCTAATTTCGTTCTTTTTTTTCTTTTCGCGATCATGCCTGGGCACATATTTTATTAAGAAGAATAGAGTTTGTTACAGGAGGCGGGCGCGACGGTAATTCGGGGTTACCGAGGGCCGACCGAAAGCGAGCACGAAGGCACACGAGGTCGTAATTACGGCTAATTTCGTTCTTGAAACTAGAGTAGTAGGAGACCATCGGGTGAGAGGAGGTACTCCAGCAAAAGGTGCAATCGCTGCGAGGCAGCAAGTCCATCATCCATGGATCAGCATCAGTAGATGGCGGCGATGTCCGCCCTGATCATCTCCAGACCTCGGGCGGCGCGGCGGCGGCGGTGACCGTGAGCACGGCGGCGCCGGCGCCGTGCGTGCGCCCACCGTAGGCCACCAGGACCTCCACCCAGGCGGTGGAACGCCTCTAAGCGCCAGCGCGCCAATGGCGGGCTCAGCGCGCGGCAGCAAGGCTGCAGAAGCATACATCGCCACGGCCGGCCCACGGACACCTCGGGCTGCCGCCGCGGCAGCAGCGCCGGGGCAGCGCGCGCACGCGGTGGTACGCCTCAAAAGACGGCCACCGTGTCCTCCAAAGATCTTCACCCGCTTCTGCCGCCGCCCACGATCTCCTCCTTGCTTCGCCGGCTGCATACCTTGCCGCCGTCGACGATTGCCAGGAAACGACGTCGGTCAAACAAAACGCCCAGACGGTGATAAAAAAAAGAGCTCATCTTGCGGCACGACGCGCCGGCGCCGGCGTAGCCAAGAAGCAGGGCCGTCGAGGGCAGGGCAGGGACTCACCCGGTCGGTGGGGAGGTTGGGGAGCATCGCGCCCAGCTCAGCGTAGAGCGAGGACACGGTGCGCCGGTTCGGCCGCCGCTCACCCGCCGACGCCGACGGCCCCGCGGTGGCCAGGGATAGGTCGAGCGGAAGCCATCCTCCACCTTCTCTAGCCATGGCGGAACGGCGGGTGGGGTGTGTACGTGCGTCTCCTCTCCCTCCTTCTGGCGCGAGCTGTGGAGAAAATTGCAATAACAGGACGCGAAACAATGCGCTTCGTTATTACGGGACTCTAAATATCGACTTCGTTAAAACGATCCTTAAAACGTTGGCGCTTTGTTATACATGACATTTGGTCTTTTTAATCACTTTCTCAACTAAAATACATGTATTTTGCCATGATGTGACCGTATTGCCCTCAGAGCTTCAATTGACGTGGGATGGGGCTGTTGGCCGCTCGCCTGGCCTTCCTGGCCGCCCGCGGTCTGGGCTGGCTAGCCGGCCGCGCCTGGGCATGGCTGGCCGTGCCCTTGGCTGGCTGGCCGCCGCCAGGGCATGGCTGGCCGGCGCCTGGGCATGGCTCATCGGCTCATCTCGACGCCGCACGCAGGCTCATCGACTCCATGCCTGTCGCGCCAGACGCCTACACGTACACGCCCATCGATCCGCGTGCTTTGTGACCATGGCGAGGTCGCCGACGACGCTACTCGGCTTGCTTCGACGATATGCTCCGCCGCAGCGCGTGCCGATAACGTCGTCACCTACACTATGCTCCTAGAGGCCATGTGCAGGAACAGTGGGTTCGCGCACGCCATGGCAGTCCTTGACAAGATACGTGCAAAGGGGTGCACGCCCAACATCGTCACGTCATCATCAATGGCATGTGCAGGGAAGGCCGTGTTGATGACGCAAGGGAGCTCTTGAACAGGTTGCCCTCTTATGGGTTCTAGCCCGACACTGTCAGCTATACCACCCTCCTGAAGGGCTTGTGCACTTCTAAGCGGTGGGACGACGTTGAACAAATGACGGAGCATGGGTGCGCCACCAATACTACCTTGTGCAATGTTGTCATAAACTCAATTTGCAAACAAGGCCGGGTTGACAATGCCTTTATAAGTTTTTTTTTGAGGAAACCGAAGGGGCGAAAAACTTATAAAGGCATCGTCAAACCGACCTTGTTTGCAAATTGAGTTTATGACAATATTGCACAAGGTAGTGTTGGTGGCGCACCAACTTATAAAGGCATCGTCAACCATTCTTCTGGCAGCACTAGCGCCATTTCCTTGCCCGTCCGCCACAAGCAGATCGACACTCTGTTCCCGCTCATCAACGTACAGGCGCCGTGCCATCCTCTAGGCTAAGGCCTTTGTCGAGGAGTTCCTCCAGAAACACCTGCCCACGTACTTCTCTCTCACCCGTGCAAGCTCGCCCCGGTTACGATGTGCCCATGGACGCGAAACTCGACATCTTCCTCTCGACCATCTCTGAATCTCGACATCTTCCTCTCAATCATCTCCTAGGATCCAAAGTTGTGGGTGCGGCCAATGGAGTTTGACACGTACAGGTTTGTGTCCGGCACTCCGGCGACGAGACGACGGACATGATGGGGTCACCGGGGATCCGGATGATCCAGCTCCGCAAGGTGCGCGCGAGGATTTGCCCCAGACTTGCCATGGGGACGACGCACATCGCCCTGATGGTGGCGCAGATGGTCCAGGTGTTCGAGACTTCGAGTGGAGCGGGCACCCGTCGCAGCCGCCACTGGACTTCAAGGACAAGATGGAGTTCACGGTGGTGATGGATCGGCCACTGCTCGCAGCGGTGAAGCTCCAAAACCTCTCGTTCAGTCGTTCTGATCGAACGCGTGCATGGGAACAGGGTGTGTGCTCTTGCATTTGCCGTTTGCGCATGCCAGCTAGCGTGGCACTGTGGCAGTACGACGTCATTCGTGTTGAGTTGTGATCCAAATTCAGTTATGTACAAGATAAAGGCTAACTTCTGACGGAGCGAAGCGAGGTCCGTCGCCGGGTGAATCTGTTATGTTTAATGACAGCTTGTCCACAGATGTTTCTCCAGTTGATTATGATGAGGAGCAGCAACATGTCAGCGTGCAGGTGGAGCACGTAGATGATCAGAAAAACTGAAATTGTTGATAACAATGTTCATAATATTGTTCAGCAATCACCTCCTGTTTTGCAGCCTCAAAATCAGTCTATTGCAGATCGCAGAACAAAGTGGAATTATGGACCACATTCATGTTTAATTGAGGAATGTGATATGGTTCATTATGCCTTTAGTTGTGCTGAACAGGTGGAGAACATTCATGAGCCGGCTACGTACACTGAAGCTGTTGTTTCTGGTGACCGCAAGAAGTGGATTTCTACCATGCAAGAGGAGATGCAGTCACTCGAGAAAAATAACACATGGGATGTGTACTTGCCTAAACAAAAGAAGGCCGTTCGTTGTGAAAGCATCTAGGCCCCTAGTTGGGTTTCGGTGATTAATGACAATACGTGATTACTATGACTAACGTGTGTTTTGCAGAGGTAATTAAGTTAGGTCATGGTAATGGAGATCGATTGGGCAATCATGGTGGTCATGCCCCTACGATGGAAATCGTTTCAGTTTTCAAAGGATGGACGACAAGGTTAAGGATGGACTAGTTCTAAGTGTCGTTTGGAGTTGAAGAGACACTTAGAGTAGTTTAGGACTTTGTTTTTTCTTTGGTCGTACTATTAAGGGGGTATAGACGGGTAGCTTGACCTAGGTGAGTCTAGTGAGTTAGGTGTGATGCACACTTGTTAAAACTAGCACTAGGTAGCTCCAAAATAGCCCTTAGATCCAATGGAGCAAACTTCATTCATATATGATCGAGAGTTGTAAGTGAATGGAGGGTCAAATACTGACCAGACGCTGGCTCCGGTGTGACCGGACGCTGGCGCAGGGTCCGATCAGTTCATTTGACCAAGGTGAAATCGTCTGGTGCGACCGGACGCTGAGAGGTGAAGTGATCGGACACTGAGTGCCAGCGTCCGGTCGACTCCAGTAAGGTTCCAGAGAGAGAAAATCATGACCGGACGCGTCTGGTCAGTGCTGACCGAACGCTGGCCAGCGTTCGGTCACACTTAAAACACTGGAGTTCAGGGAGAACTGACCGGAGCGTCCGGTCAACATGACCGGAGCGTCCGGTCACCCCGCAGAGACACATAACGGTTCGTTTTTTAGCCGGTATTATAAATATCACCTCCACTCGTGTGTGGGGGTACTTTTGCTCATTTTAATAGCTGAGAAACACCTTTAAGAGTGCCAAGAAGAGCAAGGTCCTAGTGAGGTGATTGAGATTTGAGAATCCCAAAGAGAGCCCTCATTAGTGAGATCAAGAGTAGCAAAGTGTGCATCCACCCTTCTCATTAGGCTTGTCGTGGTCAAGTGAGAGTTCATGCTTGTTACTCTTGGTGATCACCATCACCTAGACGGCTTGGTGGTGATTGAGAGCTTGGTGATCATCCGGAGAGCTTGTGGATGACACAACTCAAGTTGTGAGCGGTTGTGGGTGATTCACCACGACGGAGTGTCGAAGAATCAACCCATAGAGAGCACTTGATCCTTGCGTGGATCAAGGGGGAGCTACACCCTTGCGTGGGTGCTCCAACGAGGACTAGTGGGGAGTGGCGACTCTCTGATACCTCGACAAAACATCGCCGCGTTCCTCCTTCTCCCTTTACTTTGAGCATTTACTTTGAGCAATTCAATTCTTGGCATTTACATTCCTAGAATTTCCATGCTAGAGTAGGATCAAAACTTAGGGTGCTAAACTTTTGTGCGTTAGATTAATAGAAATATTTTCTAGGCACAAGGGGTTAATTGGACTAACCGTAGAGTTTATTTATTGCAAATAAATTTAGAAATAGCCCAATTCACCCCCCCTCTCTTGAGCATCTTGATCCTTTCATGTTACAAATGAATCTTCAAGAGAAAGGAGGGTTTATCTCCCAGTGAGCCTTCAAGATTTAAGGCAAGGTTAGTAGCAAAAGGTTTCAGTCAGATTTCTGGTGTTGATTAAAATGATGTGTTCTCACCAGTTATAAAGCATAGTTTAATTCATACATTTTTTGGTATTATTGTTATGTGAGATCTTGAGCTTGAGCAGTTAGATGTAAAGACTGCGTTTCTACATGGAGAGCTCGAGAAGATATACATGGACTAGCCAGAAGGGTTCATAGTACCTGGTAAGGAGGATCATGTTTGCAAATTAAAGAGGTCCTTATGTGGCTTGAAACAGTCTCCTCGTCAATGGTATAAAAATGTTTGATTCTTTTATGATGTCAAATGGTTTTAAGAGGTCTAAATTTGATAGCTGTGTGTACATTAAATTTGTTGATGGATCACCTATATACTTGCTGTTATATGTTGATGATATGTTGATTGCTGCCAAGAGCAAGAAAGAAATCACTATATTGAAGAAACTGTTGAGTAGTGAGTTTGAGATGAAGGATCTTAGTGTTGCTAAGAAAATTCTAGGTATAGAGATTACAAGAGACAGAAAATTCTGGTTTATTATTTCTTAGTCAGCAAAGTTACATTAAGAAAGTTATTCATTGTTTCAACATGCATGATGTAAAGTCTGTTAGTACTCCTATTGCTCCTCATTTTAAATTATCAGCTTTACAATATGGTAGTACGGATGAGGATTTTGAGTACATGTCAAGAGTTCCACATTCTAGTGCTGTTGGTTCTTTGATGTATGCCATGGTTTGCTCTCATCCTGATTTATCATATGCTATGAGTTTGGTTAGTAGATACATGGCTAATCCTGGTAAAGAACATTGGAAGGATGTTTAGTGGATTTTCAGGTACCTTCGTGGCACAACAAATGCTTGTTTGAAGTTTGGCAAGACTGATAAGGGACTCACTGGCTACGTGGATTCAGATTTTGCTGCCGATTTGGATAAGGGGAGATCTCTCACAGGTTATGTGTTCACTATTGGTGGTTGTGCTGTGAGTTAGAGGGCAACATTGCAGCTCGTTGTTGCCCTGTCTACCACTGAAACGGAATACATGGCTGTTGCTGAAGCATGTAAAGAATCGGTTTGGTTGAAAGGTTTGTTTGCTGAGCTTTGTGGAGATGATTTTTGCATTAATTTGTTTTGTGACAGTCAAAGTGCTATATGTCTCAC